AGAATGTCCGATTTGTGAGTCATACAGAAGTTGAGCCAATGAGTTTGCCTGGAAGATTTTTAAGGCCATGGGGAGAAAACCTGCATCTTTCCTTCTAAATAATCTAAGAATGGCATTTGCACTTCTCTCTGCCAGGTTAGCTGATGAGGACAGATGTGCTGAGAATTTGGAATTATAAGAAAAGGTAATGCCTGAGTATTGAAAGTTCTTAACTTGATCTATGGCATTTCCTTTAATATTTCAGTTGAACTTCCTGAATGAGTTACCAAAATGGACAATTTTAGTTTTAGCGAAATTAATAGATAGTAATTTGGTGTCACATTGTTCTTTAAATTTTATCGGGGCTCACTTCAGGCCAATCCTTGTCTGGGATAAAAGAACAGCATCGTCAGCATACATTAAGATTGGAACCTTTCTGCTACCTGAGAATGAGGGAGCATGAGTATCAATTGAATGAAGGCATGTGATTAAAGAGTCAACATAGATGTTAAATAAGAAGGGAGCCAAAGGGCAACCTTGTCTGACTCCTTTTTGCACTGGAATTCTTTTCGATAGCAGCAAGCATAAAGTTTACTTAGCTAATAGAGCCCTTGCATCAAATAGAAAAACATTTTAAAAGTTCATTTCAGGAGACTTTGAGAGTTCAGGAGGGAAGGAGCAAAGCGCTGCTTCTACAGATTAATTAATTAATAAGAGATAAACAATTCACTGGCCAGCTCCAGACAAGGCAAAATAAACTAAAATAACTGATTAATTTATAAATAGAAAAAAAGAATTAGATAATACTGTCCTGGTCAGATGGAGAAACAACTTGAGTGTCTTTTCTTGCCAGCCGGAAGGGGAGGAGTCCTCCAAGGCTTCCCAATGTGCCAAAACAAATTCCCAAGCAGAAGTAATTCAGGGGAAAGAAGGGAAATATTTCTACACATTTCCTCCTATCTTTCTTAGATCATATATGGGTCATCTCCACTGATGAGGAACAATGTCCAAGCTGTGTTCTTCCATCAATTGTTTCCAAATGGGAACCATCAATATACTGGGATGCTGAAGTTACTGCAGCATTTCAAGTGGATATGGATTGGAATTATGTATGTAGACAATGAGAATGGAGAAAGCTTTGTGCAGAACGTTATTCCCAGATTTTCCCACGGAGGAATCTGTTTCGACTTCATAAAAAAATTTCCAAAATTGACTTCTTCCAATGACACCAGTGAAATGTTGGCGGATGGCCTTAAAGCTTATAATATTGTCAAAGGAAGTACTGCCAATGTGGTGGTTGTACATGGTGAAATTGACTCTATGATAATTTTGAGAACTTTGCACCACATTTCAGAATTTCTGGATGAAGCAATGGCTAAAGTTTGGGTTATGACAGCCCAGATAGATTTTACATCATTTACATTTCAAAGAGGTTGGAGCATAGACTTCCTCCATGGTGCCATATCCTTTGCAGTCCACTCAAAGGATGTGTTAGGATTCAGGGACTTTCTTCAGATCAGAAATCCTACCTCAAACAAAGAAGATGGTTTTATCCAGGACTTCTGGGAATATGTATTTAATTGTTCTTTCCGCAGCCCCACAATAGAAACACACTCTAAGGAACTCTGCACTGGGGAGGAGAAGCTGGAGTCTCTTCCTGGGTCCATCTTTGAGATGAGCATGACTAGCTACAGCTACAACATCTACATTGCCATTTATGCACTGGCTCATGCTTTGCATGCCATGCATTCATCCAAACCTAAACACAGAGGGATGACTGATCTAGGGAGGCCAAAGTTTCTGAATCAACATCCATGGCAGGTAACTTTTTAAAGGGGTGGTGGTGGTACAGCAATGTAGGAAATCTCACCATATTGAATGTGTCTCTGAAACATTAGAATTGACAATATGTGGGAAGCTTTTATTCTGGCAAGGCTACCAAGTATTAGCTGTGTTGTGGACTCCACTTTACAAGTGATGAGACCTTCTTATCCGTCATTCAAAGGCAACTTGACTATAGGGGCGTGGGGGGAGGGAAGTTCATATTTTTTTGGCTTCGGGTGTATCAGACCCGAAAAATATCAGTAGATGCCCAATATCACCAGTCTAATACTGGCAAAGTATCAGGACAAGGGAAATATTTGGTATTGACAAATATATATTTGGGTCTGATACACCCGACAGGAGGGAAGGGAGGCATGAAAGAATGGTTTCTTTTTCTCTGGAAGCCCTTGCAGCTTTCCTTGTCAATTTCACTCCCCGCCAGTCAGCGGTTCGGTTTAAGCCATTTAAAACTAATAGAAGACTGGCCAGGGGAGTGACACTGAGAAGGGAAAGCCTCCTCTCTGCCTTCAATTCTCTAGCTGACCAGGGGTAGCTGGGGAAGGGAAGGCAGGGAGCCCAGGCATTTTTCCGTGCCTGCCTTTTGCTTCCCAAATCCCCCCACCCCACTGCAGTGGATTGGCTGGGGAAGCAAAGGGCAGGAATGGAAACATGCGGAGAAGCTCAGGGTGTGAAGGGGAAAAAAGAAGGCATGTTGAAATGCCTTTCTTTCCCTCCCTGATCATGGGGAGGGAAAGAAACACATTTAAACATGCCTGGGTTCCCCATCTCCCCTTTTCCAGGGGCCCTGCAGCTGTGGGGCAACTGGAAAGGGGCAGGGAAGGGGCCCAGGGACGTTTCCATGCCTGTCCTTCACTTCCCCAGCCCCCACACACACCATGGGAAGAAGGGCTGGGAAAGCAGAGGGCAGGCATGGAAACATGCCTGCTTTCCTCACTGATCCTCTCTGATGCTGCAGAGAAAAAAGGAGGGAAAGAAAGGCATTTAACCATGCCTTCTCCCCCCCCCTCCTTCCCTGAGCTTCTCCACAGTCAGTATTCGGCTACCCGAAAGTTGAAAAAGCCAAATAAATTTGGGAAACTGTATTTGGTAGCCAAAACGTTTCTTGAAATTGCATCTGGTTTTAGAAATACGGATAAATACCAATAAGGTATTTATTAGGTATTTTTTTCCAGTTTGGGAAAGCTGAATGCACATCCCTACTTGATTATTCTGGTCTTATCTGATGACCTCAACTTACTATTACCAGTATTTTAGCATAGGGATATGCACCTCCTTAGGTGTACATAAGATTGTTTGATTCTCTCTTTTTATTACTTTTACATGGATAAATCAATAGATTTTCCCCATGAATCATCAGTAGATGAATAATAAGTGGATATTCAAAGGAGAAGGACTGAGGGGGATAAGGAATAATTTGAACCTCTGCTCTGCCCTTCAGCACCTCAGCATAGAGTAAGATCTTGGTTGAGTGTCTCTCCCACATTGCTATCCTGTTCTTAACCTGACTGTGGTCAGACACAAAACACTCTTTGGATCAAACCAAAGGGCTCTTGAGCTATAACTTAGATCCAATGGATTTGGAACTGACCAGGATGTTTTTGTTTTCCTTAACATGTGTTTTCTGTTTCAATCTATCAATCAGACCTTTATTGGCATGTTATGTTAAAACGGACAGGCAAGGAATTACAAAGTCATGTGCAGGTACATTCCCTTCTCTTAGAAGCCCAAAACAAAAATTGGGCCACCATTTCCATAATCACTGAGGAACAAGTAGAGAGCTGTTTTATGTTTAAAATAGAGATTCTGTCCATTTTCACTCTGCTTGCCAACCCTATATCAAGTTGTGTTTGCAATATTTTAAAGTAGTTTGAATAATGAATGGGCAGCGCTGCAGTATGAGAGATTAGATTTATAACATAGCTTTCAACATAAAAACATGGGGTGGAATTTTGTAGGGATTTTGAGGTCAGTATGTTCCAATTCCTTTCATGTTAGGCCCTGAAAGATCCATGATACCCCACAAGCCAGTGGCCAGTTTAGAGATTCTTAGTTTCATTTTGAATGTGTTTTGCCTGCCGTAGTCAACCATAGCTTCTAGTACAAATGGGGGGTGATCTGGACCTTACCTGGGCCAGGATGTTCCTGATTGCCACTGTTTTGGCCACTGCAACTCCTGTGAGTAAAGAACTCTTATGAATGCATGTGAAAAACTGAATAAAAGTGATTTATTCTACTTTGGCTGTGCATTGAAAACTGTCCAGAAGACGCTGTTGGCTCAGCGTCAGATGGAACAGTGAAACCCACTCCTTGCCAGTTATTGAGAACAAAGGCTACAGGAAGAAAGTTGTAAACTCGAACCCTCGTGGCCTCTGTGTGCCGGAAGCTGTGGGGTGTCTAACTAAAGACTTCAATTCCCAGGAACCACTGCTCTTAAGATATATGGCAGTTCTGCTTAACTACAGTCTCAAACGCTGGCTGGGGGCAGCACACTCCCGTCATCACCCTGAACCTAGAGGCCAGTTTCAAAGCTCCTGGATTTAGTTTGGGGCGAATTTTGGCTGCCACAGACAATCAGAGCCCCTAAAGCTAACAGCAGGAGTGGGAATTTCTGGGCATTGTGCAAGCCAGGATGTTTCAATTACTTTCATATTTGGCATTGCAACATCCATGATCATCCTGAAGCCAGTAGCCAATTTGGAGGTGCTTGGCTTTATTCTCTGAAAAGTTATGCCTTCCACATATGGAATGATGGAGACCTTGTTAAAAAAAATAAAAATAAAGACGACTTATACCTAAGTTTAAGAAGATATAAAAACATAAGAAGAACTCAGCTGGATGAGACAAGTGTTCCATCTAGTACAGCATCCTGTCTCATATAGTGATCAGCCAGTTACTATGGAAGGCCAACTCTTTGACAAATTAGTTTCCTTTGCAAACAGCATTGGGGGGCTTTGGTAGATAATGTGGGCCAGGATGTCCAAGTTCCCTTCAGTTTTGGCAATGCAACTCCAGTCATCACCCTCAACTTGGTGGTCAATTTTCAAATACCCAGCTTTACTTTCTGATGAGTTGTGACGGTTGGAGATAACAATGTCTACCCATGAAAAAGCAGGGGTTGGTGGGTATTTCTGGAAATTATGCCACCAGAATGCTCTGATTCTTTTCACGTGCAACATTACGACTCCCATGATAATTTTGAAGGCAGTGGCCAGTTCTGAGACTCCTAGCTTCTTTTTTTGAGGAGTTAAGTGACAAAGGTGGACAGATGAGTGGATGGATTATTTTATTATAGATTTTGTTGACAGGTTTAAAGCTCTGATTTTCATTGTTGGTTCTGTAGGCCTGCTTGTGTAATGTTTCTGTACTTAATTACTTTTCTGTAAAATGTTCACATGAGTAAGTGGCGTGCCAGTGAAGATTCTATTGCAACAGAATCCTGCTGACAGTATGGGGGGGGGGGATATATTTTGCTCAGTTGCCAGAAGCATGCTCAGTAGAGCCAGGGTTGGTTTTAAGAACATAAGAGAAGCCATGTTGGATCAGGCCAATGGCCCATCTAGTTCAACACTCTGTGTCACACAGTGGCCAAAACGCAGGTTTTGGTTTCCAGTCTTCTTCAAGGAGAGGGAAAACAGTGATGGAAATTATATTATGTACTATCCAAAACCATTAGGGATTATTTGTGAGTGTCCTCTCTTTCCTTTCCTTTTGTACCCTTAGAAGCTCATTGATTCATGAATCCTGAGTAGCAGAAAACACTTATTTCTTATTTTTTAGATGCAGGGGCTAAAAGGACTGAGATAAATTTTGCAATTGCTAGAGTGATCTTAGTATCCTTATTACTGAGCAAAAGAGCCAGGGTATCCAGAATGTAGGGGGAAAATTGGTTGAATAAAGGCTTAATATAGTAATCCCTCATAATCTCAAAAAAAATCTGCATTCCAGCAGTGCATGAAAAGATGTATCAATCCTGTTAAGGCCACAAGGGCAAAATTTGTCAATGTAGGGCCTACTCAAAACCATTGTAGGTATAATGTTCAGTCTTGCAAACAAAAACGTTCTGCAACAACATGAGATGGTATAATAGAACATATGAGGGGGTTAAAGATTTTGAGTAAGAAAGTTAAAAAAATAGGGGCAAGCAAACTCTGCAGGCTCTCAGAATCAAACTACTGTGGTCAATTTCCAGGACTCACTTTCTAATTAGAGAAAATGCTTTGGTTTTGCCCATATGAAAAATATCATGAGTCAACATTCCAACTTTCATCAGTTTCTCACCCAGGGCTTTCATCCAAATTGATTTGTGGGTATCCCAGTTTAAAGCAGCTAACAAATCATCTTCAGCACTGAGCTGTTTTAATCTCAGTTTGAAGGCAAATAGCCATCCTCTTGCTTCCAAGGATATCAGTCCAAATTCTGTCCATATTCGGCATTTGACATGCAGCAGGGAATATTCAAAATTTCTCTTAAGAACTGGATAGTGGTTGATCGATATTTTCAGAGATAATCCAAATAGCTGTACTGTAAAGAATGAGTGGAACCACTTTCAAATAGATTTTGGGTAGTTAATCAACCAGGCCTTCTAAACAACAATAACTGGAGAAAGATTGCAAGGTCCTTTTTAGCTGGATCCTTGGTTTGGGACAAGATCACTGCATCATCCACTGCATTGCGGATGCCATCAGGGTAATAAATGTCTGGTCAGCACATTCCGGTGCTCTTGGGTCAGGGGAAGTTCGGTGGGCCTAGGTGGGGTTTTAAGGGAAGGACGCAGAGAAACTGAGCGGCTCGGCATCCTTCCAGCCTACAGCCCATCCCAATGGTGGCTGGCAGTGGGGCCAGGATGAAGAACCCCCCTCCGTCACTGGTGCTGTTTAACACCAGGTTTATTAATAACAAAATTACAACCCATCAGGATTTTGTACAAGAACAACATGCTGACCTGGCGTGTGTGACTGAGACCTGGGTGCTTTAGGGAGAGACAGTGCCTCTCACCCAGCTTCCCCCACCTGGGTTTTCGGTCCTCCACCAGTCACGGACACAGGGGCAGGGGGGAGGAGTGGCTATCTTCATTCGGGAGGCTTACTCCTTCAGGGCACTCCCGTCGGTGGAGATCGTGGGCATTGAATGTGTCAGCTTGATGCTGGAGGCTGAGGAGAGTTTGGCGATCTGGCTGGTGTACTGATCGCCTAACGAGCCGGCCAGTAGCCTGCCGTCCCTGCTGGAGGCCATATCAGGCTGGGCCCTGGAGCTCCCTCCAGCCAGGCTATGGACCTGGTATTGACCATGGCGTCACTGGGACTCTCTCAACTTGTTTTGGCTCCCACGCATCGGGCTGGTCACATGCTCGACTTGATCTTTGCGGCGGGGGTGAAGGTGGATTGGATCACTACAGAGGTAGTGCCATGGTTGGACCACCGGGCCCTGAAGGCCCATCTGAAGGTTCCACCCCGACCCTGTTTAGGCGGCAAGCAGATTTATGCTCACCCGTGGTGCCAAATGGACCCTTTGCAGCTCCAGATGGCCCTGTGGGATCCAAGGCCCCCTGGCGACTCATTGGATGAGCTGGTGGGGGACTGGCATGTCCGGCTCTCCTTGGCCATTGATGAGATCGCTCCCAGGTGCCCTCTCCACACTCGTCCTAGGCGAGCGCCTTGGTATAACCAAGAGCTGCGTGAGCTGAAGCGAGAACTGAGATGGCTAGAGAGACGGTGGCGCCGAGCTCGCGATGAAGCATCTAGAGCATCTTATAGGATGTTTATGAAAGCCTATGAGATGGCAGTCAAAGCCGCAAAGAGAGATTTCTATGCGGCCAAGATTGCATCTGCTAGCTCACGCCCGGCCCAATTATTTAGTACAATTCGGTCTTTGACAGTTCTGCCACAGGGCAGACAAAATGCTAGGGAACTGGATATAGGCTGTGAGGCATTCACGAGCTATTTTGCAGATAAAGTCTCGGTGCTCTGCTGCAATCTCCCCGCCACAATTGAAACAGTGAGCAAACTTGAGGCCCCTTGCACATCTTTGGTGCCGGGTTTTCTCCCAAAGGCCAAAATAGGTGTGGAAAGGGCCTTTTACTGACAGAACCTGGTTGCCTAGCAACAGGCACTGAGGAGAAAGCACAGTTGCCACCTCTGATTAGGGAAATACCTGGAGATTTGGGGGGTGGATCCCGTGGAGGGCAGCATTGGGGGGTGGAAGGACTCGGCAGGGGATAATGCCATAGGGTCCACCCTCCAAAGCAGCCATTTTTTCCAGGGGAACTGATCTATGTCATATGGAAATCAATTGTAACAGCAGAAGATCTCCAGGTCCCACCTGGAGACTGGCAACCCTGGGGGAAAGTCAGCCACACAGCAGGGGGTTGAAGAGAATGGTTTGATGGTCGCTGGCCCACCTCATTAGCCAGCCAGCCAGCCATGGTGGAGCCAAAAAGGAGAGAGAGCCATTTTAAGTTTATTCTGACAGGAAAGTGGCGAAGCTGGCAGTGGGTGAGGGAGGGGGTTATGCTGAAAGTCCTTTTTTTTTTAACTGACAGAAGCAAGCTTGGTTGCCTACCAACAGCC